ATTCGACCTGATTAGTTTCTGGTAAAGACTCGTTGGCACAATTTCTTGTAATTAAATGCTGAACAACTTTTTTTCGACGATTTTTATAATTTTTTTGACAATAGATACCATGGTCTTATAGATCATACTAAAATGTTACGGCCATACGATAAGTCGTTTAATTTTAAAAATTTGCCAAAGTTATTTCATATTTAAAATTTGTCATATTTGAAAATATTTCATAGTTAAAATTTGTGTCAAAAGTTGCTTTTATGATGTGATAATTCAAACATTTTCAATTCATTAAAATATGGAATAAAAAGCTACAATATTAGGACACACAAGCACGTGCCTGTGCAATATAATTAATAAAAATACAGATAATTTAAATGTGCGAGAAAGATCAATTAGAAATCGCATTGTTAAGATTTAATTGAAAGCGAAAACTTGATTTTCGAAATAAACACTTGGAAACTTTATCTATATCCCAATTTCGATAGATTAAGTTAATTATAACACCTATCGGGTTTTTGCAATTTGCCAAGGCAATAGAATAGAAATGCTTATAATTTAGCTCTTTAGCTTATTTTGCAGAGCCAATAAAATATTGGTTAGCAAATGCCTATAAATTCATAAGCATAAAGCTATATAGATAGACCATTCTATAAACAAACTGATCACTGGTGCCAGTCGCCTAAGAAGACCGTGCCAATAAAAAACATCACAAGTTAATAACTTTAGTAGAAATACTTGCATAAAATAAACAGCGCATTGGTAATTGGCGCGGATCGTATTTATGAATTGCGCTGCCGTTTTTTATGCCGGCGGACTGCCGTTATAAACTGATTAAATTACGATCCATTGTGTAACTTTATGACAAAGGTCGAGTTTACAGGATGTCTGTTGTTTCTATACAAATAATACGACATGAAAAAGGTAGATGGTTGGTGAATAATATTTTCTTACTGGAATAAAATTAGGAAGCGAATTATATTTTTACCGATGTACATAGTAATCAAATAACTGCGAAGAAAATATTAGGTTGTCAAATATCTCCCTTCCGCCTTTTTGTATTATAAACCAATAGCAAAAAAGCGGAAGGGAGATATTTGACAACCTATTATATACGTTTTACTATGAAATTTTTAGAGAATCCGCATTTACAATTAATTTTTCGCATGTAATTTATTATTATTATATAATATTATTATATATTATTTTTTTTAAATGTGAAATATATTTAACAGGTTCATCTACTTCATCAAAAATATATTTGTTTATTTATATCAGGTTGCCAACAAAATAACTTTATTCTGTAATGCATAGTCATTTCAATCAATGATTTTTTTTATTTTTCAATGAGCTTTATTGTCCCATTTTCACAAAAACTTTTGATTTTTATTAGCTAAAAAGTGAATTCGATACAATTTGATTAAGACGACTTTGGATTATGATAATTATTGAATTGAGCACCATTCCAGAAGATTTTAAATATGGAAAGAAGAAGTAATCACATGGTGCAGAGCCCAGGACTATATGATGGATGTGGCAAAACATGTGTGGATGTGGTGTCAATGATTGAATATATCATCTTTTAGATTTACGAATTCAGACGTTTCTTCAGCCAAATTATTTAATTTTGTTAGTTGTTATGTATAGACGTTAGATTGATCGTTCGGTTGGGTGGTAGGAGTTCAAAGTAGACAATTCCTTTGTAATCAACTTCAACTGAAAGACTAAAGCGTTTTTCTAACCACTTCTCATAGGCCAATTATATTTGAAGGGGTTCGGTTTGATTTTCAACTCTATCATCATGCGAAATTTCATCAACATCCGAGAAGAGTAAACCTGAGGGTTCCCTCGTGAGTGCAAAATCATATAAACAATTTTGAAACTGCCGTTTACTAAGGCTTCGTCACCATAAACAGTGCGTAACTTTTCGTAAACTAAAGATGACCTTTTACTTTTGAGAAATAAACAAGCAAAATCTGCCACAAAATTTCGATTTGATTTTCCATCATTCAACGACTTTTCAAAAACTTTCCATCATTCAACAACTTTTCAAAAAATGAATCAAGAAATTATTTTTTAGTTATTGACATCTGAATTGCCTACAATCCAAAAGGTATTTTACATTTGGACTACGTCAGCAATCTTAAAAATTTAATTAATCTAAAGAACGGAGCTGCACTTATTTGGTTGCCAACAAAACAAAAAAATACGTCTTATAATGCCTAAATTTCATTATAGTAAGAAGATTGGGTTATTTTCAAATACTTACTGTTTTCGTATATTAGTAATAATTTATTTAATTTAGTTGTAAGTTGTAAAACTTAAATAAAACCTTTTAAAATAATTAACAAATATCTTGCTCGATTTTTATTAGCATTAAGTGTTGCAGTACGTATTAAGAAAGAACTGATTTGCAATAATAACAATTAGATTTGATATATGAGTGATCTGAAAATTTGAGATTACCTTTGAATACTTCTGAGAATATGAAAGTCCTTTAATACGTGAATTTAATAATGAAACAATGAGTTTGTAATATTACATTACTGATTTCAATATATGTCATTGATATAGTGGGTATGATAAAATTTAGTACCAAGTTCAAATACTGTTGTTCACTTCAAAAAGCACTTAAAAATGTGGCTTTATAATTGTTATGAAGTTAGTTTGAAATTTAATAAAAATTAGATCTACAAAATTAGATATGATACGTGTGATGCTTCTTTCTAGAAACTAGATTTATTAATTAAATTAAATTAATTTAAATAACAATGAAATTACATTTCCGTGATAAATACACTGATAAGACTGCTGTTACTGGACTGACTATTGTACTCTTGCGAATTTCCTAGATATGTAATTTAACACCATTGCGCAATAGAAAGTAAATTAACATCTAACAGCTCTGCAAGATGTTAATTAAAGTAATTATTCTCTATGTTATTCAAATGGCTACCATCGCGGCATGGCACAAATGTGTTATATCATTTAATATAGACTAGGTATGTATATTTCGCAAATTGCAAATCAAATATAAAGCAGGTGCTGTTCATATGATGGTATTAACAGAAGCCAGAATTTCAAGATATGAGAGTAGTATTTTCTTTAACAATCAAATGATTATCGATATATATTAAGAAATTCTTGAGAAAACTGTGAAAGTGCTTGTTTTTATATATAATTTTATTTTAGTTAATGTATATGATTTGAGTGTAAGAAATATTCAGTTTCATTGGTAAAGAATGAAAACTATACGTATAAAAATATTAATGCGACTATTAAGTCCCGGTTTGACTAGGTCAGTCCCAGATTTCCAGCTTATGTCCCGGGTTTTTCTAAAAGCAATATTTGTTCCGGATTTAGATACTTTGTCCCAAATCGTCCCAGTTTTTCAAAAAGTATAGTATAAAAGTATAAATTGAGTCTTTGCAATTACTTGAGAAAAAAATTAGAACTACCCATCAAATATGTGAAAATGATAAATGATATGTACAACGAGTACGATCAATACGTTATGAATGAGAAAATTGCAGAACGTAAAATTCCAAAGGTAGGTAAAACTAGCAACTCATACTAATAATTACGAAATTCAATTGGAATTGCACGAAAATTGAGCAAACCAACTTTTTAGCTTTCGGCACAAGTGCTAATTATGAAGAAAATTGAATAGAAATTTAAACAAGACTTAGCACATATTTAATAAATTATAAGAAAATCTATTTCAATAAAAAAACAAATATAAAAAAAACTATTTTCAATATAACATTTTCTTTATAGATAAAAATTAAAATTGGTTTTTACTGATATAACCTTCCTTTTATTTTATAAATTAAAGATTTTGTAAAAAATGATTCTATTTTTTTGCTCACCTTGAATAAATTTACGTTATCAACTATATATAAACACTAATTAAAAGCAATGTTAAAACCTAAATGATGCTCTTCATTTTGATATTTCAAACAAACTAGCTTGTACACATACAAAATTTAGTTTGGATCATAAAACATTGAGTTTCATCTACTGTATCATCTACATATTTCCATCATAGGCATAGACTGCTAAAAATTGGTAACTGTAACATACATTTTGAAGTGGTATATTTTGACAGTAAAACAATTAAAATGTTATTATTGTAGATATAAGCAAGTTATAGGTCAATGTTTATAATATCGGGTGAATGCAACATTAATTTCGTTAAAAATGATTATTTTCAAAAACAGTGTAAAATCGAAAACGTGTAAAACGAGTACCGTGTAAAACGGGGGTAGGTGTACTAATAATCTATATACTAGAGTTTATACAAAAACCGACATTTCAGAAAACCGGGTTTCGAATTGTAAATTTCCAAAAAACCGGTTTAGCCGGTTTTCGAATTTTATATAAAAAATCAATTTTTGCTCGAATATTCTGTAATAACAAAAAAAATTATCGGCAATTTTAATACTATTCCGAACAATTTTAATTAATTAATTTCACATATTTAATTATTTTTTTGTTTAATAAAATATCATTGCTAAAAGCTGAAGACGCATATCGATTTGTTATTTAGAAGTTTCTTTTGTTTCTTCACAAAATTTTCCAAAATAGAAAATACTCTCGCAACCGAGTTAAGCTTTGTGGCTTCTAGGGCTAAAGACTGTTTTTTAAGTTTAAGTAGAACAATTCACTCCTTCAACAAGAAGTCATATTGATCTAAATTAGTATATACTTTGATATAATAATCTAAATTAATATATACATTAGACAAAAAATAACACAGAACCTTTCTGGAAACAATGGACTGATATTATTCTAAATTTTATCGAACAGTTAAGATTCCATCAAAGCAAGTTCCATCTAGTATATTTGTCATTTTCCATTTATACAGTAAAAATCGTTTTTTCCCTAAAAACCGGTTTTCGAATTTCATAATTTTTGTCAAAAAGCAGCTTTTCAAAACCAGTTTTTGAAAACCAACAAATCCTACTATATACAAAAAATATTTTTGTAATTTACTTAATGCTTTGAGATTATGCATTTACCTAGAGATTGATTATATTACATAAGTATTGATCGTAGATGATAATAAACAATAAATTTAAATCACTTACCATTTCTCTTCTGAGCACCGCCAACTGCGTGTCGAGTGTCGCCTGCGGTCTGCCAGTGCGCGGTGGTTCAGGCGGCGGTGGTCGTCCTTGAGACTGAGGACCAGCACCGCTGGATCGAAGCTCGAAGCCGCTCAGGCTCTTCGGCAGGGGTGGTAGCCCCGGCGGTAATGAAGCAGACATTCTGCAAAGCGATGGAGACTCACTATTAGATGACGAGTTACCACTATCACGTCTCTCACGAGAATTAACTACATCAGTGTCACTACTGTCTAAATTTATACGACAACTAGAATAAACCACTTCTGCACCGTCGTTCGACACTTCCGTCCAATCGGATGTACTTATAGAATCCAAATCTTGATCGTCAAATGATGCTTCAGATTTTTGATCAACAGAACTATCTAAACGCGTTTTAGAAGCTAAATCTTCCTGATCAGGTTGCCGTTGCCTTTTCCGTATCCTGTGTTCTTGTCTCATATCTTGGAGTTCTGATATCAGTAATTCATGATTAGCAATATCGCTAAAAGTAATAGCAGACTTTTTCGTAGATGGCGGAGAAGCAGTTCTAGGTTTCTCAATATCGAGCTTCTCAGTTTCGCCGCCTTCTGGTTCAGGTCGAACTGACAAAGAAGCATCTCCAAAACTTCTAGAAGATTCAGTACTACACAATGTAATTTGCACTGAATTACTAATAGTGTTGCTAATTATAGAGGAAGTCGTGGATTCGCCACCTCGGATCTCGATAGTCGTGGTTGTTGTAGGAACTCCATTTGCTAAAATACGAGTCGCAGAAGTCGTAGAACCACTTCCTATGACAACACGTGTTTCTTCCACTGGTGGAATAGAAATTTGTGTATCTGAAGAGGGTGCTATGGCAACTTTTGTTACACTACTTTTAACTTGTATATCTTTATTATTAGGCTCTGCATTATTCAAAGCATTATTAGATATAATTATTTCAGGCTCACTCAAACTTTTTGTTTCAACTATTTCTTTGTAATGATAAAGATTGCCATTACTCATATTTAATGAGGTTTCTGATACTGAACTGTCAGCATTACTTTTAAAGGAATCTTGCAAATTAGTTGAAGCTTTAAAATTGGTGGAGGATTCATTCATTACTTTTGGCTTAAGGTCATAATTATCACAATTTACAGAATTAATATTAATTTCTTTTTGAATATTATTTATTCGTATAGAATTCACTTCATTTCCCTTGATAAAAGTTTGGTCTGGTGCAACACCTGTATATGAATTATTCTTTATTTTGCTATTATTCTCTACTTTTTCTTCATGAAGACTTTTTATAATATCCTTAACACTTGGACACTTAACAATATTATTCATATTATTCATATTATTTTTAACGATGTCATCCTCAGTTTTCTCAAAACTATTGTTTATGCTATCGAAACGTCTTATATTATCCAACTTTGAAGTTGGACTTCCGGCTTTTGGCTTCGGTAACTTACTTGCATCAATATTACAAATTTTCGAAGGTTCGTCATTTAATGACTTGTTTTCGATATTTATTGTGCCTTTTTCTTGCCTTTCAGCATCTTCTAATTTTTTCTTTTCTTCGTCTCTGATAAATGAAGGCGACCTGTAAATGACTGTTCCACCCCAAGCCACAAGTCCAGGGTTCTTGTTGTTGGTGGCATTTTTGGCATTTAATAGATCTTCTCGTTTTTTAATAACTTGATGGTTGACGTAGTTTCCGAATGATTTTTCTGTACGATCAATTAATTTAGAAACATGACTGATAGGTTTAGGTGGTCTATTTTTAGCTAAAGCTTCAGCAACCACTTGTTTACTTGGTCGTGGTGGAACAGGGGGAGGCGGCCTTCCACCTTTTGCACTAATCATTATGACAAATTATTCGCAATATTGTTCTAAATAATGTAATTTACTTTTTATTGTTGTAAGCCTTGGTAAGGCTGAATAATAAACTGTTTCCTTGTTTAGTGGGTAATTCGCCTTTTTTGTCTAATTCCGAATAGATACTAGAGATTACTAACAATAGATCCTTTGTTCGTATGCTGTAGTAATCAGACCGTGGTAACTTGGGCACGAATTCATGTTTATCAAAGAACATCTCGTTATTACCTCACATGTGGGTTGCGGTAATGTTGCATCTCAATGCATTAGTTCTTTCACTTCCTTTTGGAAAACTTAATGAATCAATGTATGTTAATGAATACGTAAATTCAATTTACATTTTTTTAAATATTTAATTTACAGTCTAATAATTCTATTTCGTTCTTGTTTCATGCTCCTGTAATTACACGCAAAGATTTTTAATTTGATTTCAATGTTTCTGATCTAAAATTGCTCCTATGTTCAACGTAATTGCTATCGCCTGTTCATATTTTATGTACTATAAAATATAATTTATAACAAATAAATGCAAATCACTAAATGTTATATATAAAATTTTTCTGTACGAGTGTATGAAAGCAAACTTCTACTGCACGGTTATATAAATTGTGATAAACCCTGCTTGAAGTTCGTTAAGAGGAATTTTTGAGATGTAAGTATCCTAATATTGTAGATATAAATGGAAAAAATACAGAAAACGACATATCATTGTTTAACATTGAAAATATTTTGAAAAACGAGAACTGTCATCTTGCCAGAAATTTCAATTCACTTATGAGCCTAGACAATATTGAAATATAATATAATCCTGATCGTGAGTAAGAAAAATGTAATGTGATAATATTATTCCCGAAAAGCAGCTGACATGTGCCAGAAATTAAAATAATATAAGATACAGTATATGTTTGGCAGGTAAAAATATAAATCAGTTTGACATATAAATTTTTCTAACTAATGCCTGTCGTATTTTGCTTTACTTCACTAAATTATTTCACAATACAAAAAAAAATTACTTATTCCAAAAATTATTTAGAAGTTTCATTGTATCAAAAATTCATTTGTTTGGCATTCGATGGATTAATTTTTGTGGAATAAATTTGAAAAATCAAGTTTGAGTCATACAAAATTATTTATTTTAACATCTACAGGTATGACTAAATTTTGTATAACCATTGATATTAAAATAAATTCGAGTAATTTAAAAAACAATAATTATTATATAACTAAACGGTAAATATTAGTATAAGATATTAAAAAAATTGTAACAACATTAAAAATGATTCGAAAAAATTGTACTGGCGACCATCGAAAGAAAAATAGAATAGCTGGAATTCTTGGGACAAAAAAGTAAAGTATAGACTTTTCGGATACAATATAAAAAAAGTCAATTCAATATTTTCTATAAGTATCCAATATAATGCTAATTATAGACCTTTTTCTTAACTCCCAACTTATCGTTAAAATAATTTAATAAATTGAGAATTATAAATAAATAAAATTGGTACAATTATGATAAATTTTATTACGTATTTTTTTAACTAGTAATTTTCTTTCAATATGAATTAAAATCGTCACAAATACATTGTTTATATTAATTTACATGCAATTTATATTTTCGTCGAAGCAGAAATATTTTAATTAAAAGTTCTTCTGTTCAAAAGTATGTTAAGCAAAAACATTCTAGCAGACTTTGTTTGATAAACCATAGTTAATATAATACCTAATAAAAAATCTTATTCTAAACATTTCTCAAGTCAGCTCAAAAAAATTAAACAAATATTGTTTACCTTCAATTTATTTTCTTAGCACAATCCAATAACGTCAAAAACGAGTTAACAACTACTGATGGTACCAACGAAACAATTCTATTTTACAATCTCGAATTATATATTATATTTAATCACATAAATGCAATTTCAGGCATGTTAAAATGTGACAACGCACGTGTCGAAGTATTTTTAAATAAAAAATTTCTATGTGCGTAATAAATGAATTGGACAATGGCATATTGATAATTGTATAAACATTTGAAATATTGTCATAGATAGGTAACACAAGAGTAGTATTAAAATTAAAATAATGATAATTATAATTGAAGAATTAACACTGTACAACAATTTAACTACTTTCAAATTTATTTTCAATTTGATATCAGGCTTTCAGGGGTAGGTAGGTGCAAGTGCGGAAACCTAGGACCAGGTGGTTGTAAGACTAAAAGTATATTCTATGGTATTCTATTTTTCTAAAATTAAAATTAATATATTTGTATAAAAACAATGTCATTGCAGTAAGTGAATGAAATCATAAGATCCTAATATATGAATGCATCATTGAAAAATTCTTGCAACCCCCTTTGCACACTGTGACATTACTCAAGAGCGAAAAAAATGACTATAATAAATTAAAAAATCATTCTAATCAATATGTTTAGCCAATGTGTAATGTCCTTTCAATTCGTCCCTGGATGACAATTATCACTCGATATACGCTTTTTATACGATTTGTGAGTCATGAACAACGCCGGCTCAGCTACTGAATTCTAGAAATTCCGCATGGTTGATTGATTTTGCAAACAAAATTCATTTACGTCTTATACAATTGTATTGTTTAGATTAGTCATTTTTTATTATGTTGTTGATAAAGCATTATGAAATCATAATGGTAAAACAATAAAGCTGATTGCTGTTCACGGTAACAATATCAATAAACATTGGATTGTAACGATGATGGGAGATGTGATCAGAGGTCGAATGAAACCTCGAGATTTAAATAAATAAATGTGTTAAAAACCACAGGCAATTTCAAATCTATGAGTAATAATAATAAAATGATACATCTCATGTAGAAGTCTGATTTGTTGTTTTAATAAATTCTTATTGAAACAATATTATTATTTTTTAGAATATGAGTGGTGCTCTATAACGATCGCATGATAAGTTTGCAAATTGCAAGTGGGTAAATTCAAGTTCTGATTTGGGATATAAAATTAATTGAGTTAAGATTAGTTTAAATTTATTTAAAATAAAATTAATAGAGTTTAGATAATTTACAATGGGTGTATTACTGCACTATGAGTAATTTTTAAACATATAAAAATATAATCAACTTTGTCAAAATGTTGTAAATATACGGTAAGTACGGATAAAAAGACGGGTATTTTGTATTTTAAAGACATTTATTTTAGAACTTTAGCTAGAATCAGAATTAAAATCCGCATTATTTTCGATATCGGAAAAAAATATATTTTTAGAAATTAAAATAGAAGTTGAAAAAAATTCTCCAAAAGCAATCTTTTTGTCAATACAAGCCGGAAGATTTTTAAATCATTGAAATCGGATGCTTAGTTCTCTCAAAAACTGCCACTTTTCCACATTTAGTTACGTATTTCCGAAACGGCTGGACCTGCCTTTGCCAAAATCTAACCACCACTTCTCCCCATCATTACAAATTGAATGTTTTTTGGATTATTCAAATCGGATGCTGCGTTCTCTCAAAAATTTGATTTCTATTTTCTACACTATTTGCTTCGTATCTCTGAAACGGTTGAACCAAGTTTTGCCAAAAACTAATCAGCACATTTACCTATGAATAGGAACTGATTGTTTTTTCACAATTTACGTAAAATTGTATCCACACATACATACATCATATGGTATGCCACAATGTTCAGAAACCTCTAAAACGTAAAGATATGTAAAATTTTCAATTCCGATTTTTGGACGATTACAATAACTTACCCTATGGGAAGGTAATAAATAATTTGGTCAAGGGAACAAGTCATACATCGTAACCAACTTTCACCAGAACGGGGAAAAGAGCGTCTTGGAACAAAAGCTCTACTTTTACTAAAGTCTCAACTTTTTACCGAATCTTGGCATATTTTTAAAAGTAACTACAGTAAAAAATAAAAGCCAATCACCTTTGACAAGTTTCAATTTTCTTTTATCTTGGCCTCGAATTAACTACTCGAAGTGTTTGCGAAATAGTATTGTCATTTTATCCATTGCATAAGTATGCTATTCTATCCCAAAAGTAACCAAAATAAATAAATAATTTAAATTCTATCCAATACCTGATTATTGCAGAAAAAAATAATGGAAATCACTAGTACTGGCATAAGATCATTTTAACGCAAATATTGGCAACTAACAATAAATTAAGCTCTAAAAACGTGATAAAACCACCCTTCACATAATCTGGGACAAGACAAGACAAGATTTGACAGGATTTTGATTATTGCTTTCTTAACATTATACAATCGCGGAAACGTCACTAAACTAGCCAATTTTTAAATAAGGCCACTGTGATATTTTGACTAAATGTAATTTTGTTCGCCTTGCAATACTTGTATCATATGTTTAAAAAAAATCACAAAGGCAAATCGACTTTGAAGAGTTTTGTTCCCTGATTATTATCCCTACTATGATTCTTTTGATCCTATTGATAATTTTGACTACTAGCTATTTATTATGGTTCATATCACAGTGTTTTAATAAATTTTATCAATATGCTAACCTTTGTGAATAAAAAATGTTGGACGGGTGCATAACTGCGTAGAATGATAGCAGTTTCTATCAAGTTGAGCGGCTCGCTAAATGATGCAAAGCAATCGATGATACATAGTTTATTTATAGAACTTTTTTTATTCCAATGACACAAAAGAGTTTAGATAGAACGATTTAGCATATATGTGGGCGTAGTGCAGGTTTAAAATTGATGACCACTGTTACAAAATTACTTTTCTAAATTGATTAGAAAAAACCTTCCAAGATTAGGCGTCCTTGCATACTACAATACGAGTCTGCAGTACCTATCGATTGCTAAAGAATGTAGTTTGTTGAAAAAGAAGTTTTTCTGAATGCAATCTTTGAAATGTTATCACTTGGTTCATTTGCTTAATATTTTGCCTGAAAAAATGATCAACAAGAAGCAGGCTATATACAAATATAGAAATATATTCCGCAGTTAATTGCTCATTGAAGCAATCT